GACAAAGGGGTTCATTACACAGAAACCCAGGTACTGCCATCATGTAGTCAGTTGCCAATATAGTTTGTACCGAACCATTTCTAGTAGGTGAATTGCCAGACTATTTTATTAGTTAGAAAGGAACAAACATAGCAGTAACCTCTTTAAGGGGCAAATACGATTACACAGTTAAGTTGTAATTACTAAGAACAGAAGTGCTAAATTATTGGCTAGTTCCCTGCCTTTCCAAGTGAATATCACAAACATACTCCCAAGGTAGACAACAAAGTTGGCTGGAACAAGGAATGTATCTAAGAACAGCCAATATCTTCAAATTTGGGGCACACAAAAGGATTTCCTATCAGACACATGCAAGATTCATGAAGCAACTTCAGGGTGTTGGTGAGGTTTTGCTACAGTTTCTTTGCATTTTTAAGAACCCCTCCCCACCTGAACGGACTCCACTCCATCCACAGCAGTTCCATTCAGACCTGATTAGACGAGGCTTGAGCAGTACCTGGAGTGGAGCCTCTGGCATCTGCTGCTGTTTTTATCAAAGGCTTTTGGGTTCCGCCCTTCATCTTTTACAGCAGATAGGAATCCAGTAGAGTTGGTTTCAAGGTTCACACCGACACTAATATCTGTAACTTTCTGCATAAATTGTGATCCGCATAAATTGTGATCCACATGAAATCCACAGTTAAGAGCAGCAAATCTGAGGTTGTCAATGTTAGCAAAGGCTCAGTATCTGAACATAAAGATGTTTGAAATGACTACTGGCTGCAGGTTTGATTTTATATGCAGAGGAACTATGGAATCTAATTCACAAGTATTTAAGACAATGAAAATACCCGTAAATCCAACACACATCCAGATCAGTTGTGACTCTTTGAACTTCCATAGTGCAACAAGGACAGTCACTGGACTCGAGGTCTTCATCTCATCCGTCAGCACTGCTGATCCAGAAATCAGATACTAAATGGCTGTTCTTGGTGGTTAGCTGTGGTCTAGTTATCTTGGAAGGCTTAGCAAAGACCATTGCCTAACTCTACTGTGTGTGGCTGTACTTCTGATTTTCAAGCACAGCATATTGGTTGTCTAGATGAAGTTTAAGGGTCTGTTTTGTTTTGTTTTTAAACGTCCTCCCTATCTCTATTTTTGTGTCTTATTACTTCAAAGCTCTTCTCCATTTCTTTATCCCTAAGGGAAAAGAAATTTAATCAGTAAATATTTCTTCTTTGCTGTGGAATTTTGAAAGTATTCTTCTTTGAATAAAAAACAAAAACAAAAAACTAAGATTAATCCTGGCCACGAAGGAAATACAAAATCCTTATGAACCATTTAAGGCTTCAATAAAACAGAAAACATGTAATACTGTACTGAAGCTCTGAGGTCCGTCTTCTGAATAGAATGTTTTGGGACCAACTAGAAGACAACAGGAAAGAAGCTGTATAATGACATTCCTCCTAAGACTTCTAAGTTTTAGCAATTAGTAGATAATACAACTTTATGCGTAAGGGTAACACTTTTCTCAGTCAAGTAATGTTCTCGTCATTCAACGATTTCTCCTCCCTTCTGCTTTGGGGAAGTGGTCTGATTAGATCAGGTAAAGAAAGATATGTGTGGCAAGTCACTGGTCCTTCCGAGTCCCACACACATCTGAGGAAAGAGTAGAGAAGCGAGTCCGATTGGAGGTTTAAATTCAAGCCAGCTGCGCTCTCAGTGAGGCAAAAAGTCTGGGATTTACTTTAAAGCCACCCCCCCCAAAAAAAAATTCCATCTAATGCCATTTACATTTCTTCTCATTTTATTTACTTTTGAAAATTCACGTCCCCAAATAAGATGTAGACGTGCCAAATGTGGTCATATAACTATAGGTAGCATTCATTTTAAGTACCCGTTCCGGCTTTCTACGCTCTTGCCAGTGGACTGCAGGGATGGGAACTGTGGGTCACTGTGTATTTCTGGTGGTCCTTGTGGTGTTTTCCTTGTTGTGGTTAGCCTGGCCCCAGGAGGCCTATATTTCTGGCTCCAGTTCCTGGGTTTCTGTAACTATTAGTGGAGCAGGATGTGCTTGTACCGGGCTGTTTTATTCCAGGGCCCCGAAGATTATTCTATTCCACTACCTTCTTCCCAGTTATCCTCCTTTCATTACCATCATGTTCCTTTTCACTTATTTGCATTGCCTAAACTCTTAGTTCGCTGTAATCAACCTCCTTTTGCTCAATTCTTTCCACTCTTCTTCATCCTTCATTAGATGCTCGACCTCGAGGTCCTACCCTCCCCTGACCTTGCACCAGAGCCCAAGCTCCCACTGTCTCCTGGCCTGGCACTCCCTGCTGCTCCCACAGGTGAGCGCCCCATTGGCTGCCCGGCTGCTCCCGCTACTTCTTCTTGTCCCTCTTGGCGAAGTTGCCCAGGATCCGCATCTGGATCTCGGACATAGCCGTGGCCCGGGTGGGTAGAGCCAGCAGCAGACAGGGCGCTCGCCATTCAGAGCTCTGGGTCCAGGCTGGCTGTGTGCTCAGGCTGCCCAGTGCAGCGGCGTCACTTCACTCACCTCAGCCAAAATCAGTTGTTTGAAGCTCCTCAGCCAGAGGTGAGATACAAGTAGCCCCTTACCTCCATGATGCTGTTTTTAATTGACTCACCATTTTCAGGCCTTGACTCGAACTGCAGTTGCTGCAAGTTCATGCGTGATACAACTATATCATTACCCAAAGATAGCATTTAAAGCAATAACGCCTGTCCTCTGGTTTTTACAATACACCCCCCACCCCTTCTGCAAAGTTGCCTCACTTTTGGGGTAAAGTGTTGTTATAGAAGTTCCATTTACAACCGAACACTCATGTTTTCTTGTTCTAGCACTTCCAACAGTAATGCTTCTCCGTATTCATTACTACCCACTATATTAAGAAGCTTCTCTTGACCAAGTTTGAAAGCAGCATAAATTCCGATATAAGCCTAAGTTTGACAACATGAACAATTAGAAAAACAATTATGAGGGTATTATTATCGGATCTTAAGAGTTTACTTATCTTTGGTTTTGACCATTTTTCCAGTCGCAGGAACGAATTTTCTCCTGTTGACTGATCTAAAACCCAACCCAATTGCTACCCCATAAAGAATATTGCCAATATTGCCCCAGTGGCATATCTTGCCTAACAGGTCAATATTGTAGTATCAGGGGTCGTTGGTGGGCAGAACATTGATGTCTTTTCTTCCCAGGCAAGCTTATAAGCACATTCTAGCATCCTGTAAACTAGCCAGTACAGAGAGTCTCCTGGCCACCTCATGAATGATTTCTCTATCTTGTGTAGTATAATTATGAGCTACCTGCATCAGAAGGGAATTATGATGTAGCTGTGAAGGGGAACTAAGAGCATTGTCAAAGGCTGAGTTTCTCTGGGGGCCTCCTGGAACTCTGTGACCAGTACCAAGTATGCAGAGAATCGTAATAGTTTTGGTTCTTCAGGAAAAGAAAAAAAAAAATTCACCAGGTAAATGATGGCTGTGCCTTTGAGTCTTTAAAGAGCTTCAAAATCAAAGAATCAGCACTGTAGAAAGGTGAGTGACTTGGAACAGGGGGAAATTCTTACCCATCTGTGTACTTTGCCACATTCTTTAATCTTCTTGTAACAGACAAATTGAAGCTCTTGGTGTAGCTGTGGTATGGAAATATAATTCAAGGATCTTGGGAAATTCTCAGTGAGAAGAACCAGGAATTCCAAGATACAAAGAGAGACACTGTCAGTCCTTCCCATGGCAGACCTCAGTGTTTCCACTTTCTTCCCCTTGAGATACTCTCTCCATCCAGAGTTCAAAGATAAACATGGAAAAGTGTCTCCAGTCTGTCCAACATTCACTTAAGTCATATTGTATAGAAACCTGTAATTGTCTCCTCTATCAGCTAGGGAGAAAGTTCTAGAAAAAAAGTTCAGAGCTGATTATTTCCCATTGCCACTGAAGGGGAAATGATAATTGCAAGTCTGGGGGGAGGTGAGGTCACAGAATCAGAGAACATCGGTACTGATTGGCTGTATATGTGGCTGAGATCAGCATCTGGGTAAGAGGAAAACAGTGTGTATAACTGATGGCCACCTGAAAGGCAGATTCCAAAGGAAGAAAACTGTGAGAGTCACTGTGAGTGTTCAGACAAGGAAATAATGTAAGTAATGTGTAGAATGTGATCTGAAATTAATAATTCTTTGTTGGTATTTACATGCATTAGTCTTTTCCCCCCACAAGGCTGAATACATAATATATGACTACCATAGTTGTTTGAAAAGGCTCAATGAAACTTTTCCTATCACCAGTCATTTGAGGAATTGTATGTCTTTCCTCTTATTGAGGGATGGTTGCCTCATGACATAGGCTACTGTTGCATTATAATGACAGAAATGCTCTAAAGTAAACTGAGATAACTCAATATCTACTTACATTTTAATTAACCAACAAAATAAATCTATAAAACCACAGGATTTTATTGCATAAACCTGATGATGTGTTGAAGTGCATTACTTTCAGATCTCTATTAGCTAAATGCATGAAGAGTGGTGGGTCACTGCATGTCTCTGTTGTCACTCAGCCAATTTTAGGACCCCATTTTCATCTTAACTAGAGTGTGAATTTGCAAAAACGTTGACCTCAACCTCACTAACCTTCTTCTATTCTTTCTTCCTTCCTTCCATCCTTTTTTTTTTTTTTTTTTTTTTGGTTTCTCTCTGTAGCTTTGGAGCCTGTCGTTGTATTCGCTCTTTAGAACAGGCTGGCTTCAAACTCACAGAAATCTACCTACCTGCCTCTGCCTCCAGAGTGCTGGAATTAAAGGCATGTGCCACCACTGCCCAACTAAATCTTTTCTTTTTTACAATGGAAGTCATGGTAATGGCTTCTTCACATGCTATGAAAAGTGTAGTTATCTTGGACACAGCCATGCCTTGCGCATGGTGTATGAAGATAAATTCACAGAATTAGCCTAGCAGCCTTGCAATGAAAGAAAAATCTGCTGAATACTTATAATGAGACTCATTCTGAATGACACAGTATGTGTAACCTCTGGCATCATTTTCCCATACAGGACCCTCATGTTGACAGCAGGATCTAACACCTTGGCATCCAGTGAGGTGGCTATAGGAGTGATCTTCTTGTCACAGACTGTGGTTGGAGTTCTGGGTAATTCCTATCTCCTCCACCATTACCTGTTGTTTCACTTCAGGGGGTGCAGGTTAAGATCCACAGATTGGATTCTGATGCATTTGTTTGTAGCTAACATTTTAAGTCTGTTCTGTAAAGGGGTGCCCCAGACATTAGGTGCATTTGGATGGAGAGACTTCCTCAGTGATTTTGGATGCAAATGGCTTTTCTATCTCCACAGAGTGGGTAAAGGTATGTCCATAGGCAGCATTAGTTTCCTTAGTGTCTTCCAGGCCATCACCATCAGCCCCAGGGAATCCAGGTGGGTAGAGATTAAAGGAAGAGCACACAAATACATCCGGTCTTCTGTGTACCTGAGCTGGATCCTGTACATGTTTGCCAGTGCTCTAAATCTCGTGTATGTGAGAGCAAAGTACACTGAAAACAACACAGCAAACCTAAAAGATCTAGGATACTGTGCTGCTGTTCGTCTTGATAAGACCAGTGACATACTGTATGCCACCTTCCTGTCAGTTCCTGATTTTCTCTTTGTGGGGCTCATGGTCTGGGCCAGCATCTCCATGGTTCTCATCCTGCACAGGCACAAGCAGAGGATGCAATACATACACCAGGCTAAGGTCTCTTCCACATCCTCTCCTGAGTCCAGGGCCACTCAAACTTCTCCTGGTGAGCACCTTTGTGTTCTTTTACACACTCTCCTGCATATTTGTTATCTGGGTAACTTTTTTTATTAATCTCAGTTGGTTTCTGGTGAGTGTGTCTGTGTTAGTTGCTGGATGCTTCCCAGCTGTCAGTCCCTTCCTGCTCATGAGCCATTTCTCTGGTACATCGTGTTGCTTCTGCTTTCTCTGCATAAGAAATGATAATAAAAATAACTATTTTAAGACAAACAAATAAATTAAAAAGTTTTGCACAACTTTATTGTATATATGGTCATACCCACACAATTGTAAGTGTAGTATGATATACATTTAGTAGGGTATACTTGGTTTATTATTATTCTGTTAACTGTGAATATTTTCATACAAATGTACATGTATTTATATACATGTTTCTGTGAACATGAATTTATTAAGATAATAGTCATTATGTGTCACACAGTAGTCCAAGGTATTTTGTGCAGCTCATATAAATTTGAGAGGATAATCTCAAACTGAACATATATTTTATGTTTCACAATATTACTAATTATTAAATGATATAATGTTTAACATTGAAAAATTAATGATTTGTTGACATGTTGGGTGACTTGTTAAGTAAAACTATTTTCAGTTATTGTTAGGTTTATATTCAAGGTATGTTTATGAAACAGCCAATAAACTCAGTCAAATATTTGTCTTGAATAGCTCTCATCAGTAATATATCAAAAAATAATGAGAATTTACACCTTATGTCTCCATCAATCACCCATTCTAGTTTATTTTTATTTCTTAATTTCTGCTTTGAAAATTGATTTTCATGATGATTCATCGTGTTTGATAAAAACATGGTTCAACTTTATGTTAATTTAATGGGCATATTTTCCAAGTCATTTTATGACTTTAGACTACTGTGTCTTCCATTTTCACTGTAAAGTTTTAAATTACTGATACATATGTTTTACACATTTGTGTCTGAGTCATCCATGCACTGTTCAGTGATGTTTCCCAGACTGAACAGTCCTTTGTATGTGGCTTACACATGGAGACATATTACTTTCAGTTTTAAAGATGCCTTCTTGTGTCCATCTCTAACTATGTCAACTGTGGTTTCTTATGAAATGGCACAGCACAGACTACCTTTTACATTTACCCTTTATATTTTTATGAAGTTCAGGTATGGAATGTTTTATATTGACTTAGAATTCCATATGCTTGGACTTTGGGAGCCCATTTCACATAAAGGGATACTCCTTCACCCTAGACACATGGGAGAGGGCCTGGGCTCTGCTACAAATGATATGACAGACTCTGGAGACTCCTCATGGAAGGCCTCTTCCTCCCTTGGGAGCAGAAAGGGAATGGGATGGGAACTGGTGTGTGGGGGGGAACAGGGGAGGATGGAAGGGTGCGGAAACTGGAACTGATATGTAAAACAAGCTTGTTTCAAATTTAAATGAAAAAAAATATATAAAAAAGCTGAAAAAATTCCACATGCTTCCAGGTTCTTGTTATTACATATAATGCTGCTATGAACATAGTTGAGCACATGCCTTTTGCATGGACGTGGATCATTTGGGTATATGCCTAAGAGGGGGATTGCTGTGTCCTGTGGTAAACTAATTCCCATTTTCCTGAGGAATCGCCATACTGATCTCCAAAATGGCTGTACGAGTTTGCACTCCCACCAGTAGTGGAGGAGTGTTTCTCTTTCTCCACATCCTTTCCAGCGTAAGTTGTTATTGGTGTTTCTAATTTTAGCCATTCTGGCAGGAGTAAGATGGTATCTCAAAGTTGTTTTGATTTGCATTTCCCTGATAGCCAAGGATGTTGAGCACTTTCTTAAGTGTCTTTCAGACTTTTAGATTTCCTCTATCGAGAATTCTTTCTTCAGTTCTGTACCCCATTTTTGATAGGGTTATTTGGTGTTTTGTTGACTAGTTTCTTGAGTTCTTTGTATATTTTGGAGATCAGCCCTTTGTCAGATGTAGGACTGGTGAAAATCTTTTCCCAGTCTGTGGGCTACTGTTTGGTCTTGTCCACTGTGTTCTTTGCCTTCCCGGATAGTGAGATCAATAGATCAATGACTTACTTATCCACCATCATGGAGTCCTCATCTAGTACCTATTGGAAACAGAAGCAAACACCCATGACTAAATACTGAGTCAAACTAGAATCCAGATGCAGAGGAGAGGACAAGCCAGGTTGCAGAAACACATAGAGACAGCTGACCGGAACAAGGAGGAGCTAACAGGCCCCCAGACTCATAGGTGGGAAGCCAGCATGGGACTGACTCAGAACCCCCTGAACATGGTCTCAGCTGGAAGGACTGAGCAGTCTAGGGGACCTCAGACAGTAGAGCCAGGATGTATTCCTTGTACACAAAAGGACCTTGTGGACACACCCCCCGTGGAGGGATACTCTCTTAACCTAGAGACAGGAGAGAAGTCCTAGTCCCTACTTTAAATGACTTGAAAGATTTACATGACCCCACCTGGATGGCATTGCCCTACATGTGGAATTGGGGTGGGGGATGGGTGGGGAGGGTGGTCAGGGTGCATGTGAGGGGGCAGAGAGGGTAAGAGGGAGGGAGGGAGAGGGAACTGGGATTGACATGTAAAATAAAAAAAAATAAATAAAAATTCCACATGCTTATAAATTCTTGTTTATTCTCTAATCTTTGCATTGGAATTCACCTGTGTTCATATCAGGGACCCAGTAGAAGCTTTCTTCTCTCATTGCATGTGTACTGTGTTTTGGATAGTATCTGATGCATTAATCAGACATTTTCTCTACCGGGAGCTTGATGCCCAGCATGAGGATGCAGGGATGGTGGAACACTTGCAGTGTTTAGTTCGGGAGAGATTGCATCTACATCTTCTGGCAGTAGCCCTTTCAGAAGATCTGGGCTCTTTTTTTTTTTAATTTATTATTTTACATGTCGATCCCAGTTCCCTCTCCCTCCCTCCCTCCCTTCTACCCTCTCTGCCTCTTCACATGCACCCTGACCACCCTCCCTCAGAAGGACTGAGCAGTCTATGGGATCTGGGCTCTTTTTATCCAGTGTGTTATTTATCTCAAGACTAGGTTTTCCCAAAGCATGGTTAAGCTCTGATGATTGTCTAGTCCCGTGAGGTCCTCCGGATATGTTCCAAGCCAGAAAGAATGCATTTAATCTGAGGTCTTTGCCACAGCTGGATGGATTCTGCTGTGACATTCTTGACATGTAAAACTACTCATCTCTGGGAAATATTTCTAAACAGCTTCCAGAGTGGTTACTGAACCACCAAATGCTTTATTCAGCTAACAGTTGCCAATGTCTCTGCAGCCAGGGGCAGGATTGTGTACATAATTCTCCTCTCAAGGCTGTAATTTGGCTTGGTTTTGATTTGCACAGGTTTTGTACATTCTGTGACCATCCATTTGATATCAAATATGCAACTTCCTTGCTGTGTACAAATAGTGTGTACAAATAGTCATTCAACTTTAACATTCTTAGCTATCAGAGAAATGCAAATTAGGCTTCTTGTATTTATTATCTCATACAGAAGAGCTAAGGTCAAATAAATAAAAGGAGGAAAATGAGAGCATAGGTTGGGATGGAAACTTGTGCAACCACTATAGAAGTGAGTGTGAAGATGCCCCACAAAACAAAACATATATCTATCATCTGACACAACTTTACCCATCTTGGATATATCCCTAAAGGACTCCATTCCTAATCTAGAGATACCTGCCCATCCATGTTCGTTGATCTATTATATTTTCTTGATATTAATTCTATATCAAATGTCTTGCTATTGAAGGCTTTCTCCCATTTGTAGGCTTCCTCCTTGGTTGATGAATTCTTTAACTAGATAAGCATAAACGTTTAATTTATTCCTGCATTATTTAAGATGGCAATTTGACAATTTCATTCATGTATATATTACACTACGGTTATTCATTCCTCTCCCTTCCCTATAAACAACCCTCTTCCCTAGTTTTGTTTTTATTTTTTTTTTCATTCCCAGATTCATGACTTTAGTTTTAGTTGCATGAGCCATGTAGTTTAAAATGTGATATTTGAATTGGGATTGTTCATTGGAGCTCAGCATTCAATTCTCATCCATTCTCACCATTTCAGAGAACCATACTTCCATGTCTTCATTCTATAGTTCCCTGAAACATAACTTCGTCTGATCATAGCTTAGAGTGTTGATTGCCTACAATTAAACAACACAGTAAGTTCCCTCATTGGTCCTATACCCTTCCAGGCATGGGAATTTAAACATAATTACACTACTGTGTATGGAATATTCCTGTGAAGAGTGCCTCAGATCCACAGAGGCTGTTACCTGTTTTACCATTCTGCTACTATTATACAAGTGAGGACATTGTGCCTGGCAAGTTGGCACCATAGTTTGAAGAGATCTCAGATAGCTATGACCACACAGCAGCCTGCATAACAATTCTCAGAACCACAAAAGGTACCCTAAAGCAAGGAGACTAAGAAGTCAAGGTCTGTGATGTCTTTAGCAATAAAGCCTTGACATCTACTTTTTATGGGAAATCAAGAGCAGTATCAAGAGCCTGTGCTGTTTATAGGTCGTCCAGGTTTCCGATGACTAACATCTCCTAAGGAGTTACCACACCCCTTAGGTTTTTAGTTTAGTGGATAGTGAAAATATGATGCATATACATGATGCAATATATAAGTAAATGCACAAGACTAGAAAATATTAGTCTGAGGTGACTGAGGCACAGAAATGCAAACAGCACACAAACTTTCTCTCTCATAGGTGAATCATACTTGAAAATCCCTAATGTGCTATATTCAAGTTATAGTTTCAATGGAGGACATTAATGTAGAAAAACATCATTTGGAAAGGGGAGTCTTAAGGGGTGTATATATAATAGGAGATCACATGTAAAGTGAGAGTAGAGAGGATACTGGGGTGGAATGGTTTGAGTAGGGATGTGTACAGAGATACATGTGATAGGAAGGCAGGAAAGAGTGACAAGCAACATGAAGGGCACATGAAAAAAATTATTGAAACTGGCAATCTTGTAATCAAACTAACACAAACAGATAAATGGCTGCAGAAGCATTTTAATATTATAAAACGTCACTTGTCAATTGATGCCATTTTTTTCTTGAGGAAATATTTTTATTCAGAAAGTCATTTCTGGTGCCAATACCTTGATGTGCTTACTCACTTTTATTCTCTAATGGTTTGAGATTATCAGCTCTGCTATCCAAACATTGGACCTATTCTGACTTTCCTTGTGTGTAGGTTG